GTCTGTAACCGTGGGCATGTGCCATGACCAGGAATCGAACCAGGACTTCTCTCAATCCACTGAACCACACCAGTTGGGCGAAAAATTGCATTTTTTAATGAAAACCAAAAGATATCTTTATTTTTTATATATTCATTGTCAGTTACGTAGCTGCCAATTTCAAGGGAATATTTTATTTCCTGTCAAGGGAATAATGTAAGACTGGAAAAGTGGGAATAAGTCAGAGGTGAAGATGTATTTTTGGCTTTTTAGTTCTCTGTTAAAGGTGCTTTATAGAACAAAATGTGGTTGCCAAGGCATGTGACTTTTAGATTTATTGACTCTACCTCAGAGGTCCAGAATGTGTATTTCTTTTAATATAGTATATGTTGTGGCCTAAAAGATGTTATGATTATCCGTAATGATCTTATGTTGACATTTAATGTGGCTGTGTTAAAAGTAAAATTGAACTTAAAAATAGGGGGTTCTTGACCTTGGTAAATTTGTCACGTAAAATTGATAATCATAGGGATGCTTCTTACATTTTTTTTTTTAAATCTGAGTTACATTTCTTTTGTTCCAACCAGCCTTATGATTAAGGCTAAACATAATGCAAAGTCAAGTTTACTCTTTAAATTTAATATCCTTTTTCTTTATATTGTGCAATAGATATAGACTTTAGAATAATTAGACCTCTAAAGGAATATAGTGTGTGCTTTCCCCTTCTAGTCACAAGAGATTTGGGTACTTTATCAAGTAGTCTTGACTCTTAGGAATGAGGGAGGAGAATTTTGGCATCCAAAGTATTTATATACAGCATTTTATCTCAAGAAAAGCGAGGCAACTTTCACAAGTTAGCACAAGTGGGCTTAGTAAGTATCTATTAAAAACTGACTTATTTTGCTTGGCCAGTGTGGCTCAGTGGTTGAATGTCAACCCATGCACCAAGAGGTCGCTGGCTCAATTCCCAGTCAGGGCACATGCCTAGGTTGTGGGCCAAATCCAAAGTGGGGGGCATGCAGGAAGTGGCCAATCGATGTTCTCTCTCATTGATGTTTCTGTCTCTCTCTCTCTCTCTCTCTCCTCCTCTCCCGTCCTCTTTCTCTAAAAATCAGTACAGAAAAAAAATTTTTTTAATTGACTTATTTTGATATTACATCTTGACCTGTGATCTTGTCAGTCAGAGGGAGCAGACTAGATTTCTCTTTCAAATTTTCATACTTCAGAGTCTTTGTATGTGTGTGTGTGTATAAAATGCATATATATATGCATTAATTTATATCTCTCATTTTATATATAAGTAGATTTTTGGAAATGCCTTTTTCTTTAATAGAATCACTTTACATATATAGAAGATGTTTGATGTTTAAAATTAATATTATGACAAATCTCTTTGTAAAAAGAATTAACAAGGATTTGTTGGTTTATAGATTATAAAAATATTCATATTTCCACCCAAAGATCAAGTCAAATATATACTAAGAACTGTCAAGTACATTTTATTTTATCATAGTGACATCTTGCTAAGATAAGGAGCCCAGACACAGATGTCAACATTTGTAATAATGAGGAAGTTGAGAATTAAGAAACCTTGGGTTATAAAATGAGTCCTTTGCAACACAAATGATTTTCAGCCAATAGATCACTGGCTGTTGCCGAGTGATTAGCAAAAACTCAGGGATAATCCAATCAAATTCCTCATTGTACAGGTTTAGAGATGCTAAAACCTGCCTGAGGTTGTACAGCTAATTTTGAGTGCTACCACAGATCCCTGGGTTACTTCTGACTCTGTGTTCAGCATTTTTGCCTCTTTACCTGTTGACCATTTCAGAGAATCAAAAGATCACTATTTTTGTCAAGTAGGGGACAAGAAAAGGGAGAAAAAAAAGTTTTTCTTTTTTTCAAATATTGGTAACTAGATCAGCTTGTTTTAATGAAGGCAGAAATCTAAGAGCAGTAACAAAGGCCGATTTCATTACTACCCCTGTTTGGTTTCTTTTTTGTTTGCTTGTTTGTTTTTTGTTTTTTTTTAAATCCTCACCCGAGGACATTTTTTGATATTTTGTTCAGATAGAGTGGGAGGGGGGAGAGAGAGAGAGAGAGAAACATCGATGTGAAAGAGACACATGGAGTGGCTGCCACCCACACGACCCAATCAGGGCCGGGGACAAACTGCAACCGAGGTACATGCCCTTAGCGGGAACCGAACCTGGGTCTCTTCAGACCACAGGCCAATGCTCTAACCGCTGAGCCAAACCGGCCAGGGCTGTTTGTTTGTTTCTTATGTTATAACTTCTAAATAACTTATCTTTTTCCGATGAGTAGCAGTGGAAATAAAATACTGTAATGATTCCCTGGAGTTATTTTAATACTGTTCATCATTAAAATATAAGCAATGACATTTTGGATTCTCAGATATCTAAACAAAATAAGAAAAAAGAGTAATTATTTACGGTATCTAAGATACGACCTCTTCTGTTTAGTGAGATAGCCAGTTAAATAAACAATCTTCATGGAGCCATTTCTGCATTGTAAGGTCGAAGGTGGGGTGGAAAAGAGAGCTCAAATTAAAGTTGCACTTCAATCACGACATAATGTTGCATAATTATGGTTAAGAAACGGGGGTCCGGCCAGTGTGGCTTACTTGTTGAGCATCGACCCATGCACCAAGAGGTTGCAGCTTCGATTCCCGGTCAGGGCACATGCCCAGATTGTGAGCCCTATCCCCAGTGGGGGGCATGTAGGAGGTGACCAATCGCTGTTCTCTTTCATTGATGTTTCTAGCTCTCTGTTCTCCCTTTCTCTCTCTCTAAAATTAACAAAAAAAAAATATTAAAAAGAAAAAGAAGGGGGGGATGAAGGTGAGAACCATTTCAGTATTGTCTTTCTTATTACCATAGAACACCAAAACACCTGCCTTTAGAATACTTAATTTTAATGACTCATTTAGTAATTGAGACTCTTTTCCATGTACTTGGTAGTGGAAGTGAATTTATATGGGATTATACTCAGCTCATTGAGTATATATAGTGTATGCAAGACCTTATATATAAGGTAATTAGGGCTTAGGGAAAATTTAAAATTTACCTAAGACCCAGAAAACTAATACATGGCTGAGTCTAAGTTTTTGTTCATTCTACTATGGCACAGATGCCTCAGTATTGTACATTTTTATCATGTATTTAGTGGGGAAAGCCAAAGGCAGAGAATGTAGGAGATCTTAGGATGACCTAAGACTGACAAAAAGTTGGTAACCTGCCAACTGGTTGGAAGGTACATCTAATTAGACTAATTTTTCTAAAACACCTAAGAAAAATTAAAGTTTATCTTATCAATTAAAGCAAGATTTGAAGCCCAAAAACTAACTCTTGTAGTAGAAATGAATAAAGTTGAAATTAGATAAAAGAAAGAAGTTAGTTTCCTATTGCTTTCCATATCTATTGTCAAAAGGCCACAATCAAATTTAGAAGTCCAGAAATCACCACAGTCTTCCTGACCTACAAAGTCTTTTAAAGGAGGAAAAGAGAGGTAATTGGCTAATTTGTCCTTTCTTTCAGGTAATCTGACTGGCAGGTAATCTGGCAGTTGGTAGCACTGATTATATTTCAGTTCTGTGTTTTTAGTTATTTTTCCCCTGCCACGTTGATATAGCCACCTGGAAGGGTAAGACAAGTGCTGGAGCATTGTCCTAAGAAAGTTCTACTTTTCTTTTTGAGCCTTTGTTAACACAATTTCTTAGATTGGGAGGGACTTCTATAATAATTTTGTTCAGTTCTGTAACATTCTCCCCAACTGGTTATCTCAGAATCTCTCAAAGAAGACCATTCTGCTTGTGGGTGTGTCTGTTGGACAAATCCAACATATTCAATCGAAATCTGGGTCCCTGTATTTTTCCAGTTAAAGCCAATCAGATGAAAAGCTTTCACAATGTGTATATCTGAATAGTTCCTTTTCTAGGCTAATAATCCCTAGTCCTTGGGGTATTCTTTTTTTTATTTTTAATTCAATAAATATTTATTGATCCAGGCATCCTAAGTATTAGAATGCAGTAGTGAATCCTCACTAAAAACACTGTACTGGGAAGTATTACTATCGAAAAAATTAGTCTGTAAGCGAGGAAACAGAAAATTGAGGTTGAAGTAACTTGTTAAGTTCACCCAATAAGTAAGAAGTTTACTGTATGTCAGAACAAGTCTTTCTAACTCCAAAAGTAAAGATTTGACCACTGTTCTTTGCTACTGTGAGTCTTGCCAAGATAATCTCGTAGCTATCAGGTCGGCCTGGAGTAGATAGTGCAAGGACAAAGCTAACCTACAGAATGGGTTAAATTTGCCCTGGTCGGTTTGGCTCAGTGGTTGGAGCATCGGCCCGCAAACTGAAGGGTTTGTGGGTTCAATTTCCTGTCAAGGGCATGTACTTCGGTTGCAGGTTTGATCCCTGGCCCCAGTTGGGATAGTATAAGAGGCAACCAATCAATGTGTCATCAGTCACATAGATGTTTCTCTTTCTCTCTCTCTCCCTTCCTTCTACTCTGTCTAGAAGATCAATGGAAAAATATTCTCAGCCCTGGCCATTTTGGCTCAGCAGTTAGAGCGTCGGCCTGCGGTCCAGAGAGACCCGGGTTCGGTTCCCATTAAGGGCGCGTACCTTGGTTGCAGTTTGTCCCCAGCCCTGGTTGGTCGTGCAGGTGGCAGCCACTCGATGAGTCCCTTTCACGTTGATGTTTCTCTTTCTCGCTTCCTCTTTCTCCCTCCCACTCTATCTGAACAAAAAGTGGAAAAATGTTCTTGGGTGAGGATAAAAAGAAAAAAATTCTCAGGTGAGGATTAACAAAACAACAACAACAAAAACACAGAATGGCTTAAATGACCTTCTAGCTATGAGATTTTGGGGTTCCTTGAAATACTAAATGAATTAGGAGCCTAGTTTCTACCAGGAAACTTCAAATAAAATAGATTGTTGGCAGTCACAGATTTAAATTTATGGTTTCAGCAATTCACTAAGGATGCCACAGGTCCATAAAAAATATGGAAAGCTTTACAAATTTGAATGTCATCCTCATGTAGGGGCCAAGCTAATCTCCATATTTTTCCAATTTTAGTATATATGCTGCTGAAGAAAGCACTGGTGTGTTCTTTCACATCATAATTTTGAATATTTAATCATACTGGTACATCAACTCTTTTTTTTTTTTATCCTCACCCAAGGACATTTTTGCATTTATCTTCAGATAGAGCAGGAGGGAGAGAGGAAGGGAGAGAGAAACATCGATGTGAGAGAGACACATCATCTGGTTGTCACCCCCATGACCCCAACCAGAGACAGGGACAAATTACAACCGAGGTATGTGCTCTTAGTGGGAACCAAACCCAGGACTCTCTGTTCCACTGGCTGACATTCAAACCGCTGAGCCAGGCAGGCCAGGGTGGTACATCAACTCTTAATGATTATGTTCCAGTTCTTCAGTATTCCTCTTAAATTGTGGTCTCCAAAACAGAATACAATGCCCAGATATGGTTACAGTGGTAACTAGAGCTCAACTCTCACTTTTCCTAATTCTAACTACTATACATGTCTTTTAATATGCAACTTCATTATAAAGTTGTTTTTCCTTTTTGCTTATTTTCATATCTTTAATTTTCATTTTGTGTAAGTCATAGAATTTAATTTGGAGCAATTGAAATTTTTATAGATAGTGCTTTAAAATACAGATTTTTAGTAATTTGAAAATGTTATAAAGACTCTTCTAGAGAACGTATCTCTTGTTTCTAACATATTTGCTTTTAAGAGGGAAATGCTTTCACATTCTACCTCCTTTTGATATAATGTTAAAGATGAAGCATAATGTCACTTAATATTTTCTGCTTCCAATACTACATGCTTTAGTACCTAATTGTCCCTACTTTATACTTATAGTACTGTTTAATGTATAGCCATGTTCTTCAGAATAATTGAGAAGACAGTTCTGTGGCATGTTTAAGAATCCTGTCATTGCCCTGGCCGGTGTGGCTCAGTGGTTGAGCTTCTGGGTTGTGCAGGAGGCAACCAGTTGATGTTTCTCTCTCACATCGATGTTTCTCTCTCTCCCTCTCTCCCACTCTATTTGAAGATAAGGGAAAAATATCCTGGGGTGAGGATTAAAAAAAAACAAAAAACTTACTCCACCCAACTATAGAATAAACTTTCTTTTAAAAAAGTGCTGCTGAAGTACTATTTACAATAGCTAAGATCTGGAAACAGCCCAAATGTCCATCAGTAGACAAATGGATAAAAAAGCTGTGGTACATATACATGATGGAGCACTATGCAGCTGGGGACGCAGGGGGTGGGTGGGGGGATGGGGAGGAGGGTGTCAATAAAAATAAAATTAAAAAAAAAAAATACCACTAAGCATATTAGGTCCCTGCCATTAAGGAACATGTTCTGATGAGGAGAATGCAGACAAGGAAAATACAATACAGTGTATTAAGGAAAAATCAGTTGTTAAGGTGGAGAAAGGAGTTGGTGAGGGTTGATAGAGGCTTTCCTGAAGGAACAGAAATCTAAGCTGAGATTTGGAGTTAAGTTGCAAGCAGTGAGGTGTCTAGAGAGGGAAAGTGGAGATCAGCACATGAAACACCTTTTAAACTATTTTAAGGACTTGCTATTATAGTGTTCAAATATTTTGTATATATTATGTTAGTTGTTAGGCACCTGGTAGGCACATAATATATTTTCTTTCCATGTCTCTTCTCTCTTTCTTTCTCTCCTTTGTACGTATTCGCTGAATGTGATGCATGGCATGAGTTTTTTTGTTTGTTTGTTTTTTTGAGGGAAATTAATGCAAGCCCTAAAACGTTGCTGACATAAAAGGAGGCAAACTTAATTTAGCTTCTTTGAAAGAGTCATGTCCAGTTTACCAAAATAAAAATGTTATTTGACATGGTTCGCTGTTCTTTAAATCAAGCAACCATGAGTTTATGATGAGTTAATTATGAAATTGAATATGATGTAATATTCAAATTTTTTTATATCAACAACTTTTAACTTTTTACTACTTACTAATTGTACTTACGTTCATGGGAATTTATATGGACAGGGGCTTGGACTTTGGTAAAGAACTACACAAGTTACTTCATCTTCGTAGATAAAATGTGGTATCTTTAATGTTATCAATTGTGGGATTCTCAAAAAAATTTGTTTTTGCAAGACAGAAATCTCATCTCATTTAAAGGACCTGAATTGCCACAAGGAATCTTGAAACTGGCAGCACTATTTACTAAACTTTTTGAAAATGGATTTCTTCTGTCCTTGCTTTAAAGGTAGACAATAATTAAAAGAATCAAAACTTCTGTAGAGAGAGAACCTATTATATTATTTATAAATGATGGACTATTCCCCTTTGGACAGTTAATAGAAAAATAGTTAACAGGTGTAATTTAGAATGGAGAAATAAATGAATTTTGTTATAATCTACATTCCTATTCCACAAACAAAATACTATTCTGAACACTCCAGGCTTATGACATGTCTCATTAATGTAAAAAAAAACACTAAATTTTACTTACCTCTTGATTCACACCTGTGTATTTAATTTGTGTTTTTTTCCCCCCACTGCATGGAATGCTTTTCTCCCTTTTTTGTCTATTTGCAGAATTCCTATTCAACCTTAAAGACTCCAACTACAAGACTTTTCTTGTCCCACAGAAAGTTCATCACTTCCTCCTTTATGCCACTACTGTCTTTGCTATTAAAGCACTTGCCACATTGTATTATCACTGCTACTATAGCACTTGCCACATTATGACAATTGTTTAAGTTTTCTGTTTTCTGACTAGATTGTCACATCCTTAAGTAAAGGGAATGTTTTTTTCCATATTGAGCATCTGGTGTTGAAAATGCTTGTTTAGCATGAAAGAAAGGGGGCTTTCTGAAGTGATGTGGTGTTGCATGATGAAAGCCTATTAAAGGTCAAAGGCTTATAGTTTTATTGATTGACTGGTAGTTGGCGCTACACAGTTCTTTCTACTGGGTTATCACAGGAAACTTTTTAAAACCCACAGGGAGCCCTGGCCAGTTTGGCTCAGCGGTAGAGCATCGGCCTGCAGTCCAGAGAGACCCGGGTTCGGTTCCTGCTAAGGGCATGTACCTCGGTTGCAGTTTGTCCCTGGCCCTGGTTGGGTCGTGTGGGTGGCAACCACTCGATGTGTCCCTTTCATGTCGATGTTTCTCTCTCTCTCTCTCCCCCTCCCCACTCTTATCTGAACAAAAAATGGAAAAATGTCCTCGGTTGAGGATAAAAATAAAAAAAAATAAAAAACCCACAGGGATGTTTGAACAGTAAGATTTATTTATTGTTACTGTTACAAGACTGGATACCAAAGAGATAAGGGAGGAACTATAAGCATATTAGATGTACCAGGCTGAGGGGAAACTCACTCATAATTTACAGTGTAAAGGTTCAAGTTTTTCAAATGGAATAATTATTCAGTTTACAGAAAAATTTATTAGTATTTTAAGTAGTGTTCTTTTTTTTCAGTGCATTTTAAATTACTAAAAAATAGGAGGAAGCATAATGTAATGGAAAAAGCAGTGTAATCTGAGTAGTTGGTGTTCTAGTCCCCACTCTAATATTAATTCTGTGATTTGTTTTTCTTCTTTGTAAAAATGTAGTTTGTATTGCGTGGTATTTAATAATACAAAAATTTAGCCCTGTCCAGGTGGCTCAGTTGGTTGAAGTGCCATCCCTTACCAAAGGGTTGCAGATTTGATTCTCGTTAAGGGTACATACCTAGGTTTTGGGTTTGATCCCTGATTGGGGTGCATACAGGAGGGAATTGATCAATGTTTCTCTCTCACATCCATATTTCTCTCTCTATATCTTCTCTCTCTCTCTCTCTCTCTCAAATCAATGAAAACATATTCTCGGGTGAGGGTTTAAAAAGAAATACAAAACTTTAATGTCAATTTATTTTAAAAATGTGTTTATAGAGAATTTTAAGAGTGAAGCTAGAACAAATGGAGTTTTGTGTATAAAAAACCAGCTAAGCCCTGGCCGGTTTGGCTCAGCGGTTAGAGCGTCAGCCTGCGGTCTGGAGAGACCCGGGTTCGGTTCCCACTAAAGGCACGTGCCTCGGTTGCAGTTTGTCCCCGGCTCTGGTCAGTCGTGCGGGTGGCAGCCACTCAGTGTGTCCCTTCACGTCGATGTTTCTCTCTCTCTCTGTTCCTCTCTCCCCCTCCTGCTCTACCTGAACAAAAAATGGAAAAGTGTCCTCGGGTGAGGATAAAAAAAAAAAAAACCAGCTAAATTGGGATGATTGTTTAAATTTTTTGTATTTATCCAAGGTACTTGTGATCTGTTTTTTGTTTTTTTAAGCGATAAACCAGAAAACAGTATAGTCTTAGTTTTGTGAAACAAGCAAACATAGAGGAAACCATACAGAAAGATAATGTATTAATGTTATCTCTAGTATGGAGTTATATATGATGGATAAAACAAGGAGAATGATCCAGCTGTTGTGGCTCAGTGGTTGAGCATCGACCCATGCACCAAGAGGTCGCCTGTTCAATTCTCGGTCAGGGTACATGCCCAAGTTGTGGGCCTGATCCCCAGTGGGGGGCATGCAGGAGGCGGCCAGTGTTCTCTCTTATTGATATTTCTATCTCTCTCCCTTCCCTCTTTGTCAAATCAATAAAGAAAAAAAATTAAAAAAGAAAAAAAAAGAAGAAAATAATATTTTCTTTTTTTCTACACAATGAAGAAAAACTAAAACACACTTAAAAGACCACTTCATAGTTCAGGCTGATTTGTCTCAGCAGTTAGAGCACCGGCCTGTGAACCAGAGAGTCCCTGGTTTAGTTCCCACTAAAGACACGTGCCTCGGTTGCAGTTTGTCCCCACCCCAGTTGGGATCATTTCGGTGGCAACCACTCGATGTGTCTCTCTCATGTCGATGTTTCTCTCTCTCTCTTCCCCTCTCTCTCCCTCCCACTCTATCTGAAGATAAATGCAAAAATGTCCTTGGGTGAGGATTAAAAAAAAAAAGAAGACCCCTTCATAGATATTTAGAAGTAGATTATTATTTTATATACACATAAAGAAAATGTATTGGGGTTGGGGTCAACATGTCAAAGACAGGCTTTTTT